AACGTCAGATGAAACAATAAGAAAAAAAATGTACCGTAATTGGCATCTTCAGTAGTCATGATATTTCATCTGGGACACATAACAGTAGACATTATGGCATTAAATGTGTGAAAAATACAACTTTAGATTTTTTTTCTCTTTAAACTATTGTTACCTTTTGAATGATAACCACTCCCAGTAATTCCAACACTTGTGTCAGTGAAATTCATTTTCAAAACTAAATTGTGATGTTACCATAATTGATCAAAGTAGATGAAAAGGAACTATGAATACAGTACTTGTAATCTCCATTACAGCAAGAAAAATCTTGAACACTAAATCATTTAGCTCTTCCTTTCTTTTCATTTCTTCCTTTTCTTTTTCCTTGTTGGCATGACTGTGAAAAGTAAATGATGACTTAATCTTGGTTCCCCAGCAACTGTTACCCTGCTGCCCGCAGCTCAGGTTCAGGATTCTCGATGACGACAATGGCCATGTGTTGTTCAAGCATTAATTAATCAAAGCAGTTATTTACACCCTGAATGCACATAGTTTAGTCCCTGGAATCTGGAACACCCACTTAAAATGTACGGTATTATTAGCTAATTAAACAGCTTACACTTGTCATGAACAGAATTTGTACATGGGAGCACGCTTGTCTAGTGTACCAGTCTCACACCCAAAGAAAGATAGGCTCTAACTCACTCGTGACCCGAGTGAGGACAAGCAGTATAGAAAATGGATGGATGGGTCACGGTGGATGAATTTGCACAAGAAGGACAGGTAAATATGCCTTCATACAGCCCGTAACCGGTGGCAAGCATAATTCTCCATAAATTACATCAAGTCTGTCATCAAGTGTGCGGCAAATTTGCATTTGAAGATGTTTCTTCTTTCCGCACCTGGTCATGTTTATTGGAGGATGTGTGACAGAAATGACATTTGTGCACTTCTGCTGAGCAAAATGTAAATAAACACGAGGGAAAGGATAAATGGTCTACATTTGCACGGCATCTTCCCTATTGCACAAAGACACCAAAATGCACTTTGACGGTGATAACGGAAACTGTGATGATTAATACATACACAAGGACGCTTGGGAGGCCCTTTCACGGGTCAGGGGTCAAAAATTCGACCTTCTCATCTCTCCAGCTTCAATAGAAGACATGCGGGGCTGTTTTGGCATAGACATGTCTGTATCAATATTTGACGGGTCTCAGATGTCACAGCTTTCATAATGTGCTGAAGGCCGTGCAAGCTTTCGCACTTATCTCATACAGACGTGCCTCTGCATTTGATTTGAGTTTTCCATGTCCGTGGAGATCCACCTTAGAAAATACAAATTCATGGTCTACTTTAGACAATCCCACCAGACGCTGTCGAGCAACTGATGTCAAAGTGAAGGCCTGTGGGCCCAATACGCCCCGTTATGTGGCTTCGGAAAGCATGTCAGAATTTTTTTTCTTGATTTGACTATTTTCAAAAATCCTGTAGCTATCAAGCATATAATAATCAGATGCAGCGGAAATTACGTAATTTGATGAGATTAGCGTCCCAACACAGTACATAAGTGTAACATTTCTATGATCATAAGGAAACTATTTAAAACATTGCCTGTACCGTTTAAAAAAATATATATAGTGGCAATGGTGTGACGCTGGAATCGATTATTTCTGTTGCCGTTATTTCCTATTGTAAATGAATATGTTCAAAGTGGAAGTCAACCAGTGTCCCATCAATGCTCCACTCTGTGACAATTAGTTTTCATCAGTGAGGTACAAATAAAACAAGCCTGATTTTAGACATCTAGCTTCTCACCGTTATCAGTGAGTATTACTGCGTTGAGCAGAGTTTTAGTGGATGCGAGTGAACAGAGGACTTTAATAAAAGAGCTTTTCAAAGAAGAGAGCACATTTTTCCATGGCTCTGCAGGGGTCCAGCTGGACACAAGCTCACGTCGTTGCGGCTCATCAACATGAGCTCCATGAATTCAATTAAAAGGCGCCAACAGACATGTTGAGGGCGTCCGACGCGAGTGCAATTCTACAATCTTGAATGTTATTAGCTCCAAATGATTGATGGATGATGGAGAGCGCTGCAAATTATTGAATTTCACCGAGTGGTTCAAGCGCGCATGTCAGGCTGACACCTGTACTTACACTTCACCCACAACGGTATTTAAACCAATCTATCCTCTACAGGCCCAGACCTATCATTGGATTATTTAGACCACTGGTTCAAATTTAATAAGAACCATTTAGATTAATAAGAACAATTTAAAGTGTCATTTCTGGTCACGACGGTAGGTATATAGTGTATATACACATTAGTATTACATACACAGTAATAGTGCCGAATGTATCGCGCATATTGACACAGTTTGGGAACAAAGTGAATGGTGATCGGACCCCACAAATGTAGACTCAAACAAAAGGCAGTACAAAAATATTTATTTAACACAACATACTGGCAAAAATAAAATAAAAAAATAAATAAATAAAAAAAACACTGTCAAAAGAACCAGGAAAATGAGAGATTAACAAAATCGCTTGCAAAGGAAAGGAAAAGCAAACGCCAAGATAAACAAAATGACAAAAGTCCAATTTCACAAAAACAAAAACAAGATCAAAGATGAAAAACAAATACAAAGCGCATACTTACAAAGCGTGGGGCTAGAGCACAAAAGCAACAATGATGAGATCGAGAGGGCTAGAAAACAACAGTTGAGCAAGAGCAGCAACAAAGTCAATTGTCCGACAAGAAACAATCGGAGCTCGGCAGTTCTTAAGTACTTGGCTTTACCTGATGATCAAATTGGCAGCAGGTGTGCATGCTGGAGGAAAAGCCCTCCACTGCCATCTGCTGGCGACACACAAAAACAGGATCATGACACGTACTACATCTGCCTCACAGTGACAGGTTGAGAGAAATTAAATTCTCAGCTCAGGCTAGAATTTGCAAGTGTTACGTGCTCTCCATAAAACATGCTTCTTAGATTAATTGAGGACTTCACCAGTCCAGCTCACGCATGACCCGACACATTTTCTGATATTCCCGATGGCCAGCAAGCCCCTGATAGGAATGATACCAGATACCTGTGTAATTTTATAACCGGTCCTTTCATGACATATTAAATATCAAGGTAAAAGTGATCAGCAGCCCCCAAAAAAAACTAACGACTTGAACTTATATTAACTATAATTTCGTTTTTCTTGCTATCAAATTATTGAATTGTGTGGGACTGAAAAAAACAAATGTTTCAATTAAGGTAAACATTGAAATACAGGCTCATCTTCTTGTTTGCATCACGTGTTGCCCCCAAAAAAAACTAACGACTTGAACTTATATTAAGTATCATTTTGTTTTTCTTGCTATCAAATTATTGAATTGTGTGGAACTGAAAAAACAAATGTTTCAATTAAGGTAATCATTGAAATACAGCCTCATCTTCTTGTTTGCGTCACGTGTCACTGCTTTAATGTTTACCGCATTTATTTTACATTTCAGTGCCTTGTTCAAAACCACTTTATTTTCTGTGTCAAATTTGATTGAACGTGAACGCTGATTCATTATTTATCCTTTAGTTTTAATTTGCAGTACACTTCATAGGTCAGTAAAATATTGATTTAAGTCGAGATGTGTTTAAAAGCTGTAATATCCTGACACAGTGCAGGTACAAGCTTTTTTTTCATTTGCACCCACTTAATACTTTCCTTGCGATTACGTGTGTTTCTGCAAGAGATGATGTGCACTGATGAATAACCACAAAATAAGTTAATTCCAGGCTACCATAGTCCATCAAGCAGCTCTGGCATTTCTGAACAAAACATAACCATAGACTTCAGATGTAGAGAAAAAGGCTATTTGGAAACAATGATTTGTGCGTGTGACCTCAAGCAAAACATGCTCAAAGGTCAATAAAAGGGCGGCTTTGTAGATGTGATATAGTATTGATTTACCCTGCAGTAACAGCATAAAACAACGGCTGTGGAAAGAAAAAGAAACAACAATATGAATCGCTGTGAATATTAGCACTTAAAGGGATGGAAAATTGACTTGCTATTGTTCGAAAGAGTTGAGTGTTCATTACGCACATTCACCCCACCGTTAATGATCTCCCCCACATCGACTTGGCAGCTGGGCTGGTTGAAGATCCTTTTCAAGCCAGAGTCTCTAACCGCTGGATGACAGTAGCAAACCAAATGAGTTTCCTGAACTGCACTGAGTTTTGTTGGATAAAGTAATGAGTACGTGCTTAGCAACATAAACTCACCTGCACGCTAGCTAACAAAATTTAGCAGGGCCTGATTCCCACCCAATAGTGGTGGGTTACTATATGCCACTTTTGTTAATTCATCATAGTACATAAACCATTAATGCAATGGTAACAATATCACACACTTATTTATACTTTTTTTTTTTTTTTAAGATTCAGGCTCAAGTGCAGCATAGTTGTCATGGTAACAGAATCCATACTTGCCAATGGCCTAGCAATATGCGGGGCATGATAAGGGCAAACTCACTTCAATGAGATCTGGCGACCCTCTCCAACAAGCTAATTTACGCAAGACTTGAAATAGGATATGTAATGTGGGCTATAATTCTTGATCCTTGGGCTATTTTGAGGAAAACAAATGACAGACACATTCTTATAACAACTAAGAACTGTTATAAATTGTGGGGGAAAAAATGCACAATAGCTCCTTTAAATTTAGATTGCATCTTGAAACAGAGATGTATTAAATGTCTCATTGATCAGACAGGGTCATTTGTGGGGATTGAACGACTTCCTTTATACTTTTTTCTCTTGTAAATTAGCATGAAAGTACTGTAACATTCATAAAACGTAGCCTTTGACGGAACCGTAGTTCCGACTATCACGTAATATATACTGAAAATTTCAGGAGGTCACACTTCTTGATTTCAGTCTAAAATCAAGAAGTGTGTCCTCCTCTGCATGGATAGCTAGCTATCCAGCTAGCTAGAGTCTCTGAAATGTGGATCAAAAATAAATACAAACCTTGGAGATACATGCGTTCTTTTTATTGGGCAGCAACATTATGCCTTAATATAAGCCTGAGTGAGCTGTTCAGTCAGTGTTGAAAAATTGGGATGATACAAACCCCAACACTTAATTATACAACGAATCACAAAAAGTATTTTCAATTACAAATGTCATAAGAAATGTTTCCTTTTGCTACCTATCCCGAACTACTTTTTACCACGAGGGAAAACAGTCACCAAAGACTAACTCTGAAAGTAGTCGCAAAGACAGGTTTACAAAGTACTCTTTTACTGTTTGATGTCGGGGTTGTGTCCCTCTTAATTCTGCAGCATTCTCTCATTTAGTTTTAAGATTTTTTAACCCCTTTCTCCCCAGAGCCACCTTTGCAAAGCCATGTAAGCGCTCTCCCTGATCTAGCTCCTCACTTCCGAAATGAGTCTGAAGCTTGCACGCCCTTTGTCCAAGACCTTGCTGCATCTCCACCTTTAGTTCTTGTCCCGCTCTGTGTGCCCTCGCCTGTTTGCCCGACTCGCAGGGCGCCCGCGTCCTCTCCTCTCTCTTCACGCCGCCACCCCGTGACCCGCTCGGGGTGGGGAAGTGGCTGACGTGCTGAGGGTTGATGTTGGGATGAGCGTACGGCGGCTCCGGTAAGCACGTGAGTGAGAGAGGCTGGATCACAGTGTTGCTGAGGGTGGGCGACAGCTGGCTGTTGGAGAGCTGGTGACGTTGGGGTCGGAGGTGCTTGGGGGATGCGTGTTTGTAGGATGTGTTTTTAACACACACTTGCTTCCTTCGTTCCTTTGACAGCTCCTCCAGCTCTATATTAAAGGGAGAGAGATTCGAAAGTCATACACTGGAACATTTGAAGCTAATTTGACTTCAGTGGGGGGCCCTGAAGATAGAGTAAGGGTGTTTCTGGATTGCATTACGTCTTCCGCCAAAAAAAAAAAAAAAAAAAGGGTTTAAAGATTTAAAAAAATTAATAAAAATCCAAACT